AAACATTTTTTTATTTGCCTAATACTTTTTGAAATGTTCAAGAGAAAATTTACGTACTTTTTAACGTGGAATGCGAATCTGTTATAAAAAGTGAGGGTTCCCATTTTAGATTTTAAAGTTGTCCCCCGCCCCACCCACAGGGGTGGGGGTGGGGGGTCAATTTTGGTATCATTCAATAGCTCTTTCAAAAATAGGAAATACGTATTTTTCCGTTTTCCGATCCACCCACAATTTCTCGGGATATTCAACCGTTCCGGGACTTTTAGACCACCCTGTATATATAATTTCTTTATAAAGTATTATTTTATCGTTGTTAATAACATAAAATATAACAACTAATGGTATAAAATATAATATAAGAAACGTAGCGATACGAAATCATTAAAATTGCCAGATATGGTCAACCAAATTATGTTTTTAATTTTTGCTGGCGACCCTGAAGAGTTTCTGATTAGTTTATAAAATATAATGTTGGTATTGTGAAATACTTACTAGTAATACATAAAATAATATTTTTATAAAAATTGTCGTGAAGGATTTAAAGTTTTCCTAAAATTTCATCTAATTTTATTCTCTTATATTACGTTTATTACATTTATTTACAATTAAAACTTATATTAGTTTGCAATAAACATACATTTTAAAATATGAAAATAATACTTTATAATATTTAATCTAATAATGAAATATAGACGATATTGCACACATTTCACGGTAGGATATTACACCTAAGATAGCACAACGTATTAACTAAAATCTGTAATACAGTAATTTTGAAGACAAATACACATGTAACAAAATAATACGATCGAAGCTTTTAAATTGAAACTTAAACTTTGCATCGTAATATCTTCTTGCGTTTACAGAACATATAAAGAAAACGTAAAAGTCCTTCCGTTATGTAATGCCCTCTCGTCAATCAAATCTAACTCAACCGGGTCAAGCGTTATGATGATTTAAGATTTATTTTTAGCCAGACACGTCTGGTTAAATATAAGAGATACAAATTTCTCTTTATTCGTCGCAAGACTCGACACGAGATGCAGGAGCGAATGTCTCTCTTGATACCGCACAGATTATAACAATTATTATAAATTTATTATCAATAAGATTTAAATTTTTTAATTGTTACTCGTATTTAATTCTTAAATATGCAAAATTAGAATGTCCAAAATGTAATCCTGTAAGTATCGTAAACAATTTTTCGTACAAAATGATATATATAATATATATATATATATAAAATTATACGTAAAATATATTTTCATATGTTTCTTTACGTGTATGAACTCTGTTCGTGTATATAGGAAAAATAACAATGAGAACTAAAAAATATAATTTAAAGACATGAGAAAAATGGCTATAATATATAAACGTATTAATTGCGTGCATAAAATGTGATTACATATAAATGATATGTAAAATATTGTACAATCTCTGATCGCGCAATTTTTTAAAAAGGAGAATATAAAAATTATTAGTCTGATTTTTAATTATTCTTCTTATTGTTTCCCTACATGTACGGACAGAAATTATGCAAAGAAAAACATATATGGATAATTATATAATTGTATAAGTACTTATAATTATATAAGTATATAAATATATCCACATATTCTATAAATTATATACATATATATATTTTTTTATAAGTCAATTTTTCTGTAGTGATTCTAGAGGTAATTTCCGAAAATTGTAAAGATACTTTTTTCTTTCCTAAACTTAAATAAATATTGTAAATCTTGAGATTTTTCTCTAAATATTCCAACATATTCCAACGTCTTTAACAAGGGATATGAGAGATAATGCACATTTATTATGTAAGCAAATTGTCAGCTTCTACATACGAATATTGTACGGTACTCTGCAAATATGTAAATTGAAGAAATCCTTGTAACATGTTATTGCCGCACACGCGTTTCTGCGCGCGATCAAGAGAGATAATGTTACCGAACTGGATATCAGGTAGAATACTAGAAGCGGATAATTTTTTCGAGTAAGAGACTCACCTGACGAAAATTGTATTAAAATGTAGAAGTCAATCGGAATTTAATCACAACGCGAATAAAACTTTCTCTTTATTCTCATCATCGTCGGCTCACATCTTTGAGAAATGCGACTTGTACTTGAAATTTCGCAATCTACAAGCATTATATAATTCAGAGGAGAAATTAATTCGAACTTTTCGTTAATCGAAGATTCCAAAAACAATTACTCTACAGATACTATGGACGTTGGTTCATGTACAGAAGCATGAATGCCGTAAATATTCGCGTGCTCAGAAATTTCCTCGACGTTTCACCTCAGCGCGCCTTCTGCGAGGGATTTAATGGGCGATAGTTCGAAAAGAATAGTCCTCCACGCAAATATTATGTAAATACCTTCCGCGAAAAGAAATAAATAGCCGATTTACGGCGTATCTTATGTAAGTGCATAGTATGTAAATACAACCTATCCGCTCGGGGTCAGGGGAGAGAAAGGGACAATTACCGGTGTGCAAGTGAAGACATCTCGGCGCAGATATATGCGTCTAATGTCGAGGTGGATAATTGAACGGGCCCGCATCGCGATCTCTCCTCGTGCACATACGCCGTCGTTAAAATCACTTCGGCCGATCGGTGAGGCAACGTTACAGTGTCACGTGGCAGCACACTTTTCCCGCACCTCGCGCCGCGATTATTCTCGCGAGAGAGAGATTTATTATAATTCCAATACCTCTCTTCGCACATTTCAGGCTTTCGTAAGCTACTTATCGACATTTTTAATGACGGCTCGCCGCTTAAAGGCGCCGGAGGTCCGGCGTTTGCGACACGCGCCGCATACACGCCGTAAACGCCGAACGCAATCAGCTTCTCTAAACTTTAATGGACCTCCGCCGATTACGTGGAATAACGAAAGGCATTTACGTTACTGGCTTACGTGTGGTAATCGAAGAATGTCAGTGCACGACGGCTATGAACGCGTCAACTTTTTAATCTCACGTGAAACGGCAAACGCGCGTTGATCCCGAAGGTCTCTCTCTCTCTCTCTCTCTCGCGCGCACGCGCTTATTACTACAAACATTTTTGTGCCCTTCGCAAACTCACGATGAAACGGGGAGATTTTCCTAGTGTCTCCTGGATTACCGTAAATGTTAAAATTAGTCAGGATTTACGCGGAAATCGGCAAGAAATAACGAGCGATGCGCATACGTAACTGTAGCCGGTAAATCGAAATAAGTCTCGTTGCAAATCGCCTTGACATCGATCATGCCGCCAGAAATTTTCAAATTGTTTCGTCACCTTTTGCCGTTTCGCGCGCCCGTCATCGAAGTGTAAAGAAATGAGTTTGGCAAGAACCTTTGCATCCTTGAATCATACCAACCCGTGCGCGAAACGTTTCGGATATCTTCGAATTCCCTTTTGAACGCTTTCTTAGAAATGGTATTTAAACAACGGCGTTTTCCCGGTAAAATTGTCATTACTCAAACGTTCTAAAAATGCTTGTGATCCTGAACCGAAGCCAGTGCTACCATAAAAGCCACCTAAAGATGTGCCGACTAAAATAAAATCAATTTCACAGCGTTTAACGCTCAGTACGCAGGCTTTTTATTTGTACACATATTTGCTCCGCGGCTATAAGATTTATTTGATTTTTAGCGAAAGAATTATAGAAAACTTTCTTTTATTCAGTCATGTTTCAAATAATATTTTAATATTATGTGGATATTTAAACATCTAATTAGAATAACCGTACGGACGAATCATTAATCACATCGCACTGCTCCAGTTCAATCAGTTAACCCCTTTGCAGTCCAATAGAAGAAAAAATATATATTGCACGTACAAATGCTTATAATTATCTGTCAATTATACATAAAATAATGTTTTAAATAAAAGTAATATTAACAGATAATATTGATTGCTGTATTCCATTTTTGTAAATATAACGTAAATATTATACGCTTTACAGTCGCAAAAAGTTCAACACAGCGACGAAAAATTTAAAAAACAGCAGTTTGTAGTGATTTCGCAGCATAATCGTTGGGCAAAGGATCAAGATTATTCTACCGTATCTGCTCGTGTTTTTATTCACCGGATGGAAATTTGTGTTTGCAGCAAGAGCCATTTAGGATCCTCAAAGAACAATACCCGGAACGACTGAAGAAATTGGTAGTTGTGCCCGGCGACATAACTGTCGAAGACGGTCTCGCTTTATCTGTCGCGGATAAGCAACGTCTTATGAACAGTATTTCCGTCGTCTTTCATATGGCCGCTAATGTCAGGTTCGACTTGTCATTGAAGTCTGCCGTCAGGATGAACACTATGAGCATCACAAATGTCCTGGCGTTGGTGAAACAGGTAAGAATTTCACTGTAGATCGAGCAAGGCTTACGGTCGACATAATACTCCAAACGCCTCGAAGAACTCTTCTTCTCCTACCTTTTTAATAATAAAACGAAAGACGAAGCAGAAGAATTTGCCTTGGAGCGCTTGCGGCATTAAATGAATCGCAGCCAAAGAGTGGAGACCGATTACAAAAAGTATCGTTTACGTATCGATGTGTACACTGGCCGACTTTGTAGAGGCTGAAATTAAAGTCGACTAATGTGAACACCAATATAAAACACACACATGTAATCTGGGAAAAAATTGTACATTTATAATCGTCTATACATATAACATAAAATATGTTTATATATGTGTGTATTTTCTTTTTAGAAGAAGAATTTTAAAATGATTAAAGGGAATTTTTGTAATACTTTTTTTTAAGTGAAGTTTGAGGCACCATAAAAACTTAATCAATTTGAACCTGTGTTAGACTACGGGTTGAGACTGAGATTAGATTGAAATTTGACCAATCAGAGTTAAATTCGTTAAACTTGAGACTAGTAAACTTTACTCTCGGATTAATCAAATTTCAATCTAATCTCAATCTTAATCCGTAGTCTGATACTAGTAATATTAGCATTTAATGATGAAATTAAATTATGAGAATTGTAATCAATTTAGTGATATTAACAATAATATAATAATAATACGACGATCTAATAACGATATTATCGAAAATGAAATACGTATATCGGTATTACGAAAGTCTTAATTATTCTTCTTACAGAGTATATTCTAGCTACAGATACTAGAATTCGTATACGAGGAATGCACATTGTAATTATCCGTGTCGTAAAAAGCAACTTTCTCCTTCGACAAAATTGCGTCCGAGCAAGTAATTTTTTAATGAGCGCAATTTACAGCTAACGAACGAGCTCGAAATTACGCGTAAGTCAGAAACGGCGCGCGCGTTGTTGTTCGCTATTTCACGCATTGCTTTTTTTTACTATTTCTTCAAAGATTTCATAACAATTGTAAATGACGTATACCGATTTTTAAATACAGCTAATTTCATAAGAGAACATTTTCTAAATTGATGCCCCTAACGCTTGAAAATCAAATAAATAGCTTAAATAATTATATAAATTATATTTAAAATGTTATCCTAGAGATGTCTATAATATTAAAATAGATTCTAACACAATGCCTTCTATCTGCTCTGCGAATAAGACTCTTATTTTTAGCGATACTAGAGAGTTGAAGAATTATTTTCTTTTATTAAATTGCATTCAGAAGAAAATTTAAATATTATATAAACATTAAAATATTATATGCACTTGTTATAAAATCAGAGTAATAACGCGATCGGCGTCCGATACACGCATGACACGATTCATTATGCCCATTCTACACCTAGGGATGATCCTACTTTTACCACATCCGATACCCCTTCTATACCTAAAGCTAATCCTACTTGCAGCTTATCCGAGGGAGTAGTATAAAGTGTAAAAGGGTACACTGTAGTTGTACTTTGGTACGATTGGAAATCAACCAAAGTGTAAACCTTTTACACTTTATACTACTCCCTCGGATAAGCTGCAAGTAGGATTAGCTTTAGGTATAGAAGGGGTATCGGATGAGCCACAAGTAGGATCATCCCTAGGTGTAGAATGGGCCTTAGCTATTTAAATTGCACTCACCAACTGTTGCTCGAGAACGCAACTTTGTCAGAGAAGAAAATTACTTTTTCCTGTCACAAGGGATTACCTACGCTCAAATTCTGGAATAAATGCCCTACATGTCGATACTTTTAACATTCCTCGAATGTTATAATTAGTCAGATTTTTAGTATTGCGATCTTAACACAATCAATATTATTATACAACTGATAGCGAAATTATTTCGCTGTTCAGACTCGGTAAATCCAATAAATCGTATTTTTTAAGTAGGTAAATTTTCGCCCTTGTTTTGCAGAAAAAAAATGTATATTCTATAACGTCCACGAGAGAGATTGAAATAAAATTTTACTCGTATAGAGAAAGAAAATTTTAGAGGTAACAGAACAAGAGAGTAGAAAACAGTGCAGTTATCTTTCAGATGCCTCTGCTCGAGTCATTTGTTCACATCTCGACGACTTTTTGCCAATGCGGCGAGTCGGTGCTGGAGGAACGCGCTTACCAAAACAAGATCTCGCCAGAAAACGTCATTAAGATGGTCAATACAATGACGGACAGCGCCCTGGAGGCAACGAGTTCGAAATTATTGGGCGAGCAACCGAATACGTACGCCTACAGCAAAGCACTCAGCGAGGAATTCGTGTCGAGATGCGGATTACCTGTAGGAATCATACGCCCGTCGATAGGTGAGAAAATTCTCTTCTTAAAAACGAACCTCGCTTGTAGAACAGTTATTGATAAAATCAGGGAAGCAAATGATTCCACAAGACATAAGAAAAATAAGCTAAAGATTTACTGAAGTAAGGAAGCGAGTAAAATCTTCTTCGTATACAGGATGTTACGGATAATGTGTCCATCCGCTCATATACAGGTAGAGCGGGTAAAACTGAAAAGGAAAGTTATGTACCATTCTGTAAAATTTGCAATAGTTTTCAAGTGATAAGTAAAAACGTCCGAACGAATGAACGCACGAGAAGCAGCAGGCCGGACTCTTATTCGTTTAGTCTCGTAGCAACGGTGGGCGTCCCGATAGCGGGAGGTTGAGCGACTCACCGCTCGTCCCTCACCGCTACGAAACTAAACGAATAAGACCCCTGTGAAGCTAGCACCCCCACCACTAAAAAAATAACTTTAGTCTACGGCATAATTAAGTGTTAATTTTGTGCTAATTTGTTGCTCTAGTTTCGAATTTTGTGCTCCTACCCATCCGCAGGAAATTAATAGCAAAAGTGGGGGTGCTGGCTTCACGTTAAGCTAGCACCCCCATACCTAAAAAACACGTATAGAATAGCGTAAACAAAGAAATCGATATACCAGAATTTTGTGCTAATTTTGTGCTTTTAAAATATCCATATCCGGAATTTGGTGCTCCTTGTTTAATATAAAAAAAACGCATAAAGAGTTTGGCGGTGCTAATGTCCGACAAGAGTAAAGTACGTTAAAGAAATTAGTTGCTGGGTCGTTGTGCGTACCAAAATAACGGTAAAATTATGTGCTTTTAAGATATCCATATCCGGAATTTGGTGCTCCTTGTTTAATATAAAAAAAAGCCATAAAGAGTGTGGCGGTGCTGGCATCACGACAAGAGTAAAGTACGTTAAAGAAATTAGTTGCTGGGTCGTTGTGCATACCAAAATAACGGTAAAAT